CGGGTTTCTATCAAACAGGTAATAGAAGTTGCACTTGTTGATAGCTATCTAACCCCAAAGCTTTTTTTAGCGGCGTTCACCCAATGGACTCTATACGGGGTCTTACACTAAGTGAATCATTTCATATCTCCCGATCACTAACACCAGGCCCATGGTCCCCCAAGTTATCTTCAAATCCAGCTGCATTAGCTCGTAGACTGTCTGCACTTATTTTTGGTACGCGAGCAGTTCAATTCTTATATGTTTCGCGCCCTAACTCGATTTAGTGATACATGCATAATGATCACTGATCCACCGAGGATCTGATAACGAAAGCCAAGATTCTCGTATTTAAACTTCCAAAAGCGCACGGGCGTCAATTGGCCCCACTTCTTCCTCCTCTGACTACTTCCCTTGGTCAAGAAGGTCGTTATTCATTCGAACCCTCTACTCGTGTTCGTTATGTGCCATGACACAGATTTGACAAGGTTGCAAGACGCGCCTTATGTTGTCGCGTTCCACGAGAATGATCGTGTCAGGATGATGGGGTTTTTCGATGAAGCGTCCGCTCGGACGATTTATGACTATGTTTCAGAGGAATGGGCCAAGATACTCATGGATAGACGACGATCCAAGGTGTGTTTTCATATCGTCAGTTGTGGTCATTACTTGTTACTCATCATAATAATGCTAGGTTTTGGAATCTTATGGCGACAGTCGTTGGGTCAAGCAGTGTACAGAAGAGGTTCTGAAGTTCGACGCGTTTGCTGTAGTCCGTGCCCGTGATGTGTCTTTGCTGCCCGACAATGCGCCCTACGTTGTCGCATTCCACCAGCGTGACTGCGTCAGGATGATAGGTTATTCGGAGCGTGGAATCGCTCAGACGGGGTACAACAGCATCTCTAACGAATGGGCCAAAATACTTGTCAATAGACAACATCGGGAGGTTCGCTGATTTTTTGTATGTCCATGTAATGGCTCTAACAGCGATGATCATGATAGCTGTTGACTTCTTATGGGAACAACCACTGGAGCAAGCAGTGCGAAGAAGAGGTCCAACGGCTCCCTGCTTTCGATGATACTGCGCCTCTGCAAATTGCTCCTTACATTGTGGCATTCCATCAAAGCGACTGTGTTCGAATGATCGGTCTGTACACCGCAGAATCGGCTCAAGCAGTGTACGATGCAGTCTCGAAGGAATGGGCAAAGGTTGTCTCTGATCGGGAACGTTCTCAGGTGCGATTGACATGACTTGGAATTTTGTGGTGGTATTAACACCTAGACAAGGTGTTAGCGTCTCACGGCTTTGACTACTATGTCAAACTATGCAAAGAAAGGATCTCGCAGCTGGATGCCTTCAAGTTCAACAGAACCGTGCCATTGCAGCACGCTCCTTATATAGTCACTTTGCACCAGAGCGATCGCGTCAGGATGGTTGGTTTCTCCAAAGAAGAGTCTGCTTGGACGGTTTATAACACCGTCTCAAACGAGTGGGCTAAGATACTTATGGACAGACGACGGTCGCAGGTATGCTTTTCCAATTAAATTTATCAAGCCGTTGTGGTATACTAATCACACATCTACTTCAAAGAACTTGTTCTCTCATGGCGGTGCCCGTTGGATCAAGCAATGCAAGGAAGAGGTCCTGCGGGTGCCTCTATTCGAAAACCCTATTTTACTGTCGCAGAGCGGGCCTTACGTTGTTGCGTTTCACCAAAATGACTGCGTTAGAATGATTGGCCTGCCCACGGAGGGATCTGCTCGAACGGTTTACGACATGATCTCCATGGAATGGGCGAAGATCCTCGTGGATAAACGAGATTCTGAGGTAGGTTATCACTATATGCGGGTTTCTGCGATAACTCATTGAGAATGACTACCAGTTGTTGGCATCTTATGGTTCCAGTTACTATACCAAGCAATGTGGGGATGAAATTCGCCGGCTCGATACATTCCAGAGTATTATGCCGTTGCGGACTGCGTCTTACATCGTCGCCTTCCATCAGAGCGACCGTGTCAGAATGCTTGGCTTCTCTGAGGACCGAGCTGCGCGCGCGGTGTACGGTGCTGTCTCCGACGAGTGGGCCAAGGTTCTCGTGAATAGACGGTATTCTGAGGTGAGTTTCTGGCCCTTCGTGTGTTGCGATGTGTTTCTAATCAGCTACTAGATGCCATTGGCATCGTATGGTTCTGCATACTATGTCAGGCAGTGCGAAGAAGAGGTCCTTCGGCTGTAGCGACACCTGAACTGCTAGTAACCACTTCAGTCTTGTCCGAATGTATTAACTCCTTTGAAGAAATGTACTGAAATTGTAATAGCGTGCAATCCGGCCTCTTTCTCGGGTTTTCCTCCTTTTCTTCTAGGATCTGGGGATGAGTAGGTTTCCTAGGCGAGAGGGAAGTTTCTTACGTGGTTTAGGAAAGATAGCCAAAACTAGCCATTATAACAGCAATAAATAACTTGAGAAAGCTGGTATATACCGGTCCAGCGTTGGACTCAACGTAACCGCTCACAGATGTGTCAGTTGATACACAAAACAGAGATATAACACCAAAGAAAGCAGGAAGGAAGGGAAAAAAGCTTGGTCGCGTGAATCTGACCCGGCAGTTGCCGCGAACTTTATCTCCTTGCCTCATCCACGGTATATGCCCCCATGCCATTGAACGTATTGAATGACCATGGAACCAATGGTCAGATCATTAGAACGAGAAAGAGACCTACGAGCATAGTCTTGAGCGGGAAATTTACCAGGGATTGAGGTAACTTGTAAGGGACTGTCTTTCCCTCGTTGGTTCTACCACTGACTGAGCAGTAAGGTGTTAGACAGATGATGTATAGTCCTGGATTACGGTTACCAAGTTTTCGGGGATTAGCGCGAGGAGCCATGATGCATGAATCTCGAAGCGTGTTAAGCGCGTTGTTCAGAATGAAGGCGGCCGCATCATCCAGAACTTCACGACAAGGTCATACGTACGAGCTCGGCTTCGTATACGCTGCCTCTTGAATCAACTAGACGACTCTTGGAAAAAGGATACAAACGTATCATCAGGATCGAGGTAAGGTTGTATCATCCCCTTGTTTTCATATCCATCATGGAAGAGTGTCGGCCAGGCAATGCATAATCGTAACCAGTTGAAGAGAGGGCTTGGGGCGAAAGATTTTGTGCTTTCAGGAATATGTAAGAGCTCGCCTGGGTAAGTGTATCATCCATATTGCTCAAACTGAAGCTAACGAGGCTACATCAGCGAGGCGAACGGAATGATTTATTCAAATATGTCGTATTCGCGTTCGCCAGCATCTAAAGCACTGATCAGTTGGTGTATTGTAGTTTCCTGGAATTGCACCTTTTCGTTCATGACTCAGTCGAAACTAGCTGTTCGGAAAGTCGAAGGAAGAAAAATGGTAAGACAATAGCATTCTTCAATTTTCACGTCCACCACGGTGTGTTGCTTCTCGCTTCTCTTACTTTGTCATACGATTGTTTTCTTCCAACAGTATACATATTTTTGGAGCCCAAACAACGCCTAGGATGGGTTCGCAGAGGGGTTACGGGTGTAAACGGCTCGTATTTGTAAGGTTTGGAGGGAAAGGTACGTTTAAGTACTATAGTCTTTTCATCTGTGACATAACAGCGTGTAGCATAGGTGGAGCACGCCCACGAATGCATCGACACCCAACACCGCCCGCCCCACGCACATTCATCAGAGCATGCTGCTCCCAACCATTCCGTTCCTCCCCTCCCTTTACGGTCTTCTCCTTCCCTGCTGCTATGAAGATGATCGATAGCGGAGGAAGGGAGAAGGTCGTGTGGTGCAGAAGAATGGACGTGGAAGATGCAGTGTTCCCAGATGAGGGCGTCACGGGTATTTACTAGGAGGGAGGACGTAGTGAAGGGACGTCGTCTGTGGTAAGCGCTAGCTTGGAGTGCAACCTGTGTAGTAGGTGCAGAATACATCGGTGTTCATAGACTCTTGACTATGGGGTGCCTACCTTTTATTCCGGCCATGGTGGCCCTAATCCACTTCGGCGCACAACTCATATCTATGTGAACACCTTTACGATTCCTGAGTGCAGCTTCTGGATTCCAATCGTCTGCGACTATCACTGGTTAAGACGGCGGCATTTCCATTGATGTGAATTAGAGAAATCCACCGTCAGCCGGCACATCGACTGTCTCTTCATCGCGAAGGCCACCTGAGATAACAGCGACCGATAATCAGAAGAGCGAGGACAGCATAAATGGGATCCTCGGATAATCAAATCTTCGAGAATTTGCATAATTTGTCAGACTGGCCCGAGCGTCTTAGGATGGAACCCATACAAGTTACATGGCTTGTATAAATAGTGGGCATGCATATAAGAACAAAGCCGTATGCCATACACACAGCGTGTCACTCAGTTAGTCTCCAGACCCTTGCCTCCACGTTCTGCAAGAAGTACTGCTACCTCATCGTGTTCCGTTTCAACTGCTATTTCGTATGGACTTTTGCCATCGCTGTCCTTCACCATGATGTCAATACCCGTGTGATCCAGTAAACGTTTGACAATGTGCGCGTTGCCCAAATAGGCAGCAAGGTAAAGAGCGGTCCTTCCCTTGCTATCGGTCTTATTCACATCCATTCGACCCGACTTCAAGAGCATCTCGACGACACCATACTGACCAGAGAGAGCGGCAGTATGTAAAGCCGTAAACCCATTGTCCCCTGGAGTATTAGGATCATCATCTTCCCGCTCCAAGAAGATCTTCACAATGTCACCTCGACCTTTTCTTGTAGCAAGTATAAGGGGGGTCTGGTATTTAAATCGGATGGAGGTATCGATACCAGGCTGCGACAACAAGAGCTTCACCACTTCAATGTGATTACCCAATACGGCGGCTGATAGTGCTGTGGGTCCAGAAGGAGGTAGCATGTTCAATGATTTCATGTCTTTAGACTCTAGAAGGGCTTTGACGATTTCTTCGTGACCGTTTGATGCTGCGGCAATGAGAGGTGTGCAGGAAATGGCCCGAGTTTCGGGGTTTCCATACATCGCGAGTTGGTATGAGATCGGATTAAAGGACCCATAATGGCGATGGAAATCAAGATATGTGACCTTGTCAGCTTGGTTCACATCCACGTCGTCTCGTGACAGTAACATGTTTACTATGTCAAGCTGCCCTGCACGCGCTGCTACACACAACGTGTTTTCCTCCTGCAAGTCAACCCCTTTATCGACCAGCATCTTCATGACATGTGCCAGGCCATAATGGGCAGCAAACCATGCAGGAGTGCGTGGTGTTTTAGGTTCTGTGCCTGGCCATTGCTCACAAGACAGAGCAATTACTGTCCGAGTTGACAAGAAAGCAAGGATCTCCTTTTCCATAGAGCCTGGCGAGCATTTCCTGGCATGGTATGTCCAGTTATTTGATGAATATTTGAGAAAAGGGCAATGGTCTTTCCGGTCATCGTAATACCCTAGTGCGAAATTACCGGGAGAATCAAAAATGTCGAATGACATGTATGTCAGGCAGGTGCGGGTGATATCTGACTCCTGGATGTGGGGGGAAAGCCTGTCTTTGTGCAAAGTGAAATATTCTTGGACAGTATAGTCTAGTAAATGATTCAGCAGGTGAAGAGAGAGAAACAGAGATTTGAATACTACTCACGTACAAACCTGACCTCTCCTTTGCTGCCAATGACGACAAGGCCCATGCAAACACTTGTAATAATGTCCTCGTTGGTAATAGCAGCTGGATCGAGTTGTTTAGTTCCTGGTTCTATGGCCAGTGCGTACTGCAGTTCCAACACTGTCAAGGGTCGTGCAGCAAAGGTTACCCAGCCAAATATGCGATAGGCGAGGTCTTTGTTCGGCAGACTGTCTATCCTAGCCAGCAGATACTCATACGTCTGCGTAATGGTATCCGGCAGTTTATCCAGCTCCTTCTTAAGCTGCGCATGATTAATAGAACGGGCCAACAATTCCATGTGCATCCTTGCTAGAAGCAACCTGTATCAACACCATCAGCAGACAGGATAGAGGCTATGCCATTGGAAACCTACACGCCATCCGCCTTCTCCACAACCGCCTTGAGTATCTTCTCGTACAGATTCTTGTTTTCAGAGAGAAGGGTAAGAAGATTTCCCTTCATGAGCCCGGCCATGATACACTTTTCGATATCAGTATCACTTGCTCGGATCTCCAGTTTCGTATCCGCCTCGAACAATGACCGTATCGTATCAAGGTTTCTCGAAGTCACAAGGAGACGAATCTGGCTACCTAATGCCCTCAGGACATCAATGAGCCCTTTCCAGCGTCCGTCGTCGTCGAGTTCATCCAAAGCATCCAAGACTATGTAGACGCAGTCGTATGACTTCAACTCCTCAAAAAGAAGGCTTATGCAGTCTTTAAGTGAAGGCTGCGTCTCATCATGACAGTACCGATCGTAGAGGAATTCAATTGAGGCGGTCAGGCTAAGGCGGGCTTGCCAGTAGACGAGCTGCTTCAAGAGACTACGCATGAGGTTGGTTACTGTCTGGTCCACCGTGCTGTTATAGTCGCAAAAGATACACAAGACAAGTGTATCTTCCTTATTGAGCTTCGCGTGCAAACGTTCGACGGTATTAGAGGCAAGGATTGTCTTACCGACACCGGCTACATAATATATAAACATCAATGACAAAACTCAGGGGCCTAGTACAGTACTCACGATCGCCAACACACCACAAAGTGAAGGGCGCTATGGCAACATCTACCCAACTTAGAAACTCTGGGGACTCAAAAAACCACTCTTCCATGTGGCTCGCGCACTGCCAGTGTTCCAGTTTGTTGTGTCGAACAGTGTTGTAATCCAAAGCGCTCAGCCACATCACCGCATTTACGATTTTGCCACCTGCAAGGTTCATGCACATCAGCATTCAATACGAAGATAAACCTTGACCATGAGCGCACCCGGCAATTGGAACAGCCTGTTCTTGTCTTTGGTTGTCAAGGATTCCCAAACCTTAACTTCGATATCACCTAGCATCTTCTGAATCGCAAGAGATAATTTACTGTACACCAAACTTAGCCTTGGACGAGCGAGCAAAAGGAGATCCCTCACAGATGATCATGCTGTCCGGCAACCATGATCAAGGACTTGAGACGCTCGATCTTCCTCAAATCCTCTTCCACGCTCTTTTTAGTGATTGTCCAATCCAGCCTCCGCATAAGCCGTTTCAGCCGAGATGATCCATCCTTCAGTCTCGCCTTGAGTTCATCAAGTAACTCCATAAGCTCCTTGAAATGATCCTGCAATTGCTGTAATGTCTCCAGCCATGGGTCGCCTTTGGTCGACGACCGAATCTGCTGTCCTATGCTGGACAGACCAACCTCGAGATACCGTAGCTCTGTCAAGAGCTCGTCACATTCTTTAGGTGCATTCTTTACGTCCTTTAGATAGTTGATTACAACAATAGTGTTTTGAATGAGGGCGGTAACGGACGAAGCGATTCCTAGGGCCTCTGCCATGTCTGGTGGTGGTAAAGAACAAGGTCGTGTGTAGGCAAGCTCGATTCGTAAGGTACTTCGCCTCGTGGTCGAAATCGAAGCCAGCAACCGGTCATTGATGTGTTGATGTAATCCTCTGTGGTGATGAGAAACAGATCATCTATGTTACGTTCTTCAGAATTGTTGATTCACATACGTCGGTACAATGTCGATGCATTGCGTCCAGGGGGCAAACACTGAACCGTTGATCACACTAGTCTCACCCTTGCAGATGCGCCTGCACTTCCCGCATGTATAGACCCTCAGACCCTCACAGAGTCTGGTCTACCTCCTATGTCAGGTGCAGCAAGTCTGGTGGGCGTCAAATATGGTATGACATTGATATTATCGATGTACGAGCCTCTTGCAATGGGTTCATCGATGATACAATATGAGCGCAACCCAACAGAGGCACTGAAGCTGATGGTACCTAGCATGAGGTAGATCTGCCAGTGGTGAAGAGCGAGCAGGCAACTATGAGGTGAGGGAGCAAACCAACCATCCCCGTTAGTCTCCATTGCAGCGTATAGATATCTCGTTATCATATACCTTCCGTATTGAAAAGGCCGTTTACGCTGGATCCGACTTCATCATGGGGCGTGAAGGTTTGTATTGGAAGGCCGGAATCCGAATATGAACTATGAAGCCCTTTTGTTGTATACTGTAGCAGGAATGTCGGACGTAGAGGTCAGGGCATCGAAGCAAAAGATGGAAGTAGAGCTGTATGGTGAGGAGAAAACAGCCGGACTGGCTGGTGCAGGATCGGAGCCCTGCTCAGACGAGGCGAATCATGTCTCGTTTCATCGTGTGAGTCGATGCATTGGAGGATGGCAATTTCCAGAGTAGGGAAGTTGTGATAGCGCGCTCATCTGATAAGTTAGATTGTAGTGCAAGGTGTGTAGTAGGTGCAGAGTATATCGATGCCCTGCATGTATGCGCCATAGGATGCAGCTTTGAAGCGGTTAACGACCAGAACAGGTTGTCGAGATATTCCTGCTTTGGGGAGGGTAGCCATCATCGCTTAGAAACTAATCCAGAGGGGGAGTTCGCGTTCTCGGTGTTCGGAGACCGGCGAGTAGTCAGAGAAGAGACAGTAGACTTGGTTGCGAAGCAATGGTGCTGAAGGCTCCACAGACATTGTTAACGAACAAACTCTCCTTGGATTCGTTGCTTCGTCACTGGAGGACCCGTTCTTGCCGTACTTGATGGTCTTCCTCTCGACGAATTATTATTACGAACTGCAAATGAAAGTTGTGTCAATATGATTTTGATGAGACGATGACACGGCATACACACCCTGGACGGAAAATTCCCTCAAAGGCTCTCGTCCCTCTCTAAGTCTTCTCGAGCCCGCCCATGGCTGCTCGTCCGCCTGCACGATGCTACTCCTTCCTCCCAACCCATCTCCACATCTCCCTCCGCCCCAAACTATCTTGTTGATGTGTTGTTCGAGTCCCGCTCAAGAGAAGCTGCTACCATTAGAGCGAGGGAAGAAGGTCTCTAGAGCGCACGTGTCATCGGGTGAGGAAAGCCTTTGCTAGGTGAACTGGCCAGGAGGATTGGTTGTTGAGAGAGGCTTCGTGTGCGCATGCTCGGGTCGATGCAGAGTCCTCGATGACGGGGAGAAGAGAGTTCGATCTTACCCGGGTTCGGTCCTGCTTGTTCCCAATCACGTCCATCTAGAGCATTCCTTTCCCGTTTCCTTCGCACTATTGGATTGCTTAGCAATGCTACCTTCGCTATACACAAACTGGATCTAGCAAGTCCTACTGGATTAGTCACAAGGCACTGTTTCTCTCGTCGGGTTCTAGGTGTATTACTGGAGGAGATAAGCCATGCGAGAAAGACATACGCGGTGAAGGCTTCACATTCAACACATCCAGATATCGCCGATTGCACAGACGTATCAATGTTCTCGGCTGTTTCTAGCGCACTTGTTCTCATTTTGTCCACATATTCATACATCGCCTTTGTTCCATCATCTATTCTCTCCTGAACCTCTCTTAAGATATGCTCGACCTTTTCCATCTGCTGCTTCAGGACCCCATATCAAGCCGAGCCGTTTCCTCCTCGCATGGTGGGGTCGAAAAGACTGAAAAAAATGCATCTCTCCAGCTCGCATACGAATTCTTCCGTCGGACCGCGGAGCGGCTGTAATAAATGCCGGAAAACAGCTCGACCTGTAGCCCAGTGCATGACGAATGAACTTTATCTTTCTTTCACAACCGTTTCTTACATCTTTGTCTACTGAATTCAACAAGTTCATGTGTTTTGAGGCCAAGATCGCCTTGATCATTATGCGTTGCTTCCATGAGGGGTGTATGAAACCTACCCAATGCACAAACAAGTGCAACGCGGGTCCATTCTTTCTGAACCACCATGGCCATGAAACCTACTACATCGTCTGCTATGACCACTGACTCGGAGGACTGGGTTGACTGGGTGTACCGCTCCTACCCCGGCCGCACCCACCAGGAAATCATTGATCTCTATGTATCCCAGTACGGTTCTGTCGAGGCTGCCCAACTTGCCATTGAAGAATTCCGCGCTAGTGTTCCAAAAACGGAGAAGCAGATTGGTGTAAGTACGCTCTTTTTATGATGTCTTTCGCTCTGACCAATCTTGGGTCAATTTAGCGCTATCCTACTCCTAATGAGGACATGTACGTTGTCGATATCAATGATGAAGTCAAAATCGGCATATGGCGCGGAGATCTGGCAGACATGCATCAATACCAATTCGCCTTCATCAGCCCCGATGGTCGACCGGTTCCAGTGCCTCGTGGTGTCCATGTTTATGGAGTAGAGCGTCCAGATGGAGGTGGGACAGCAGACGAATTGTTCTCGATTGAAAGGGCCTCTGGCTTGAAGGCTAAAATCCTGAGCGAAGTCTTCGTAGTACCTGAGGGTACAGTATGTCGTGTTGAGGGACTGGAGAAAACCGTTCACTTTGCCCTTCCTATACATGACGACTTTGTCCTTGCCCCGTTGAGGATCTTCAATAAGGTGATTGATGCCCTCTTCTACTGACTGACTTGGATGTCTGCTGACAACTTCCTCAGAATCGTTGACCCCAATAGTCATTGTGTAGTAAAATACAGCTGGACCCCTTTCTTGAGATGTCGGCTGGATTGTCATCATCAAATCTTTGACTACGTGTAAGCAACTCCGAGGAACGTACCAAGCGAGAGAATTATGAGCGTTTCGGATCATGGAAGAATTCGATATCGCGAGTCCCCTAGCATCTAAATGAGTGACGAGAGGTACATGCGCATAGACTCGGACTCACCTTGTGAGACATTTCCCTGGTGTATTTTTTGAACTCGCCCGGCTCCCTTCCAATATCGCCTTTTGAGCAGTTGAATAGAATATTCAGAATGGCTTGGAATGCGCAGGCATCATCGCTGAACTGGTTCACGAGCTATACATGGGTCCTTAAAACCGGTAGGTCGATGTGTGTCCTTTCGCCAGCGAAAGCAGGACACTAAGCCGTACGGATGGAGGTAGTCGATGGCTCAAGGTTCTATATCGTAGACTTTGACGATCTCGAGGTGCTTGACTCCTAGTTTACTAAAGATGTGAAAACGCCTGCGTAAGGATGCAGCTTCGACGAGCCGCTAGTAAAGGAACAAGAATCAGCTTTCAGTCGATATGAACGAGGTATAGATACGTACTAGTAGTTGATTGAGATTTTGCGCTAATCACAATGTGATTGATATCCCTTTGCTGCGTTAGGTTGAATGGTCGTATGCTGAATATCAGCGATGGATAGGATCCTGAAGCAAATGAAGTACCCAGCAGCTGTTGCCTAGTGCCAGACGGATATCCTGAGAGTGGACAAAACTTGGCGAGCTGCTGTATATCTCATTCGAGGAAATGAAATAGCCCTTGTACGAGTCGTGTCTATGGGGTTGGAAAACTACGTCTCGTATTTGGAAAAACTGGGCTGCGAGAATGATGAACAGAGTGATGTTTGATAGTGAGGTTGTCTTCGAAAGTTTCGGTGGTGTGGATCAAGGGAACGAAGGAGGCAAGGGATGAAGAAGAGACATGCAAAGATGTCTCGCGTAGTACTGATGACGGGAACGGGTCCCCACCAACAAACGAGGACGCGTCAAAAAATACTGCTAGCCAACGGTCTCTCCTTGGAGTCGTTGGAGTGTTCCGGAAACGTTGAGCTTCTCGACAGCCCTTTCTTAGATGAAGATGAGCAGGCTACCTGGGGCACTAGTCATGCCAATAATATTTCAGCGAGATGCGAATAGTGAACATACCCAAGACTCATACAACTAAGAACGTTCTCCAGCTGAACCTTGCACAGAACATCGGGAACTCTTAGCATGGTCAGCTCTCTTCACTGACCTCCCCTCCTGTCCCTCTCTTCGCCCATAAAAAGCTAAATTCCGCGCCGACCTCTCTTCCAGGCCATTTTCTGCTCAAAATTAACATGTTGACGTGTCGTCTATGTGAACCAAGTTCCAGAGTCGTTGAAGTTGAGAGGCCGCCATTGTTAGGGATGCAGAGTTGAGAATAGACTTGGGTACAAGGGAATGGTGCTGAGATTTCCAATGAACAGGCTCTCCTTGGAGTTGGTGTTCGGGTTGCCGAAGGAGCTGCTCTGGTCGTACGTCTTGACAGTCTTCTTCTCGGCGAATGACTATCACGATCTGTATACGAAAGTCGCGTAAGTGCAGGCCCAACGAGATGACGACGGCGGACATACGCAACACACGGGATGATGGGGGTTTTCGGAGAAAGGTCCCTTCCATCCGTCAGCCAGACACAATGTCGACTGCCCCTCCCTTCCTCCCAGCCCATCTCCGTCGCATTGACATGTCTTCCGGGTACCGTTCAAGCTGGGAAGCCGCTATTCCAGGAGGTACAAAGTGAGAAATTTCCGCACCCGGTAATTGTTGACGAAGGAAATGGCTTCTGTAAGCGCGCGCGTCTTAGCATCTGAGAAATTTTCTCTAGTCTAAGCAAACATGCCAGAATGTTAACGATTTTGAGGGGCTTCACGGGCGCGCCTGCCGAGTCGAAGCAGAGTCCTCGGTGATGGGAGACGAAAAGGGAGTTTGAACTTACTCGCCGGGTTCGGTCCGGCTCATTTCTCAGATCTCAGCCACGGTCCACTATGTCCACCCAACCGGCGTTTCCTAAATCACCTAGTAATGATACCTTCGATATACCCAAACCGGTTCCAGCAAGTCCGACTGGATTGGCTAACATTCTCTTGACGGATTCTAGATGTTTTGCCATCCTTTTTTTATTCTTTGCGCTTTCCGTTCACACTGCACATCTCTTCTCTATTATTGGCTTCTCTGACGAACGAGCTGCGCGCGCTGTGTTTGGCGCTGTCTTCAACGAGTGGGCCAAGGTTCTCATGAATGGACGGTACTCTGAGGTGAGTTTTTGGGCCGTGTGTTACGGTAGTTGTTAATCAGCTCGAAGCCATTGGCGTCGTATGGTTCTGTGCACTATGTCAGGCAGTGCGAAGAAGAGGTCCTCCTGCTCGATAACATAGGAGGATGCGAACCTGATCAGTGACCGCCACCATCTTTTTCTTCCTTGTTTTGTTCAGAGCCGCCTCATCCTAATATCCTGATTTCTGAGCTTCCACACTTCAGGAAACGGCGAAAAGTCTTACTCCGGACGTTATGGGGCTATCTATGTCATCGTACGACTTGTTTCGCGATTCTTCATCGCGTAACTGCAACTAATTTTTTTCTCAGCCGCCGACTGCCGGACAAGCTCTCCTCATCCATCGATTTATTGACCGACGACCAAGTCAAAGTGCTTATCGATGTAGCAGTAAGCCGCAACGATGTGGTCGGGATCAGACACAACCCAGGTATCAGCTGGATGCCTGCCACGGCACGGAGAATCGCCCCAGACGCTGTCGCGAAGAAATGCGATCCTCACGGTCGATGTCCATCCGCATTCCAAAGGTCCGGCGCACTCTTCCTATGTACGAGAAAGAATCATTGTCAGGCTGTTATTCGATGTGGCTCGTGATGGACTTCATCGACGGCGATGTAATGGAGACGACATGGCCACAGATGAGCTGGTGGAATCGCTTATGGACTATATGGAAGCTGCGGAAATCCATCCGGGAACTGCATCATGTTCCCGTTCCCTGACCCAACGTCCCAGGCCCATTCGATTCCACTGATAAGGCTTTGGCATGCAGCGGATATTATTTCTCCGAAACCGGGGCGGGACCTTTCGAGTCGTACAGTGCCATGGCGGACTGGTTCGACCACCTCCGCTACTCCCTCCTCGTAGACCTGCATATGAACTACGGGAGTTTCAAACCACATCTGTATCCCATGTTCGACGCTTCCCATCCTCCAGTTCTATGCCATATGGATCTTAATATGCGTAATATTATCGTGGACAAGAGGGGCGACGTTTGGTTAGTCGACTGGGGCATGGCCGGCGCGTTCCCTCCATAGTTTGAGTACGCGAACATGGTTTTATTTGCAAGGGCAGTCATAAAAGAATGCCGTTTACCAAAATCATGGCTGTTTTTCGTGCTTTTTGTTGCTGGTAATTATCAGTGGTACGAGGCGGAGTATCTTCATCGTCTGGAATATGCGTTTGGAAGATCGTGGCTTGATCATCCGAAAGGATATTTTGAGCGGTTGGGGTCGGATATCACGCTTCGACGGGCTTGTTGAGATAGCTGTTCAACAGGCCGCACAGTTTCAGTCAAAGCTGTCATTGAACGGAATCATGCCTTCAGAGGTACCACGATCGTTTGCTCTGCCATCATCACTGATAACCGTACTTTTCTTTCTCTCTTCCTATTATCAAGAACTATCGTTTGCAGGATACGTTCCGAGAGCAGATACATCTAATTGAGCCTGTGTGTATAGTACCCCCCCGCTGTCGAAGAAAAAGATAGTGTTCACTACACGGATGGCGGAGAAGACGTGCATGGAATATATGAAGTCTACCACGATAGTCTGGAAAGCTTCAGCATGATGCACTGTTTCTCACGGAACCAGAGATAGCGTCTTCCTTCCCTCTTCGGGACTACTGTTCTGCGATACATCCCAGCTCTTGTTGATAGAGATCATCTTTCATTGTCGAACACCTACGACTCCTTTCGACGTTGCCAGAGAAGTCGGTACAGCACGCTGCTCACTCTGGATAACTCGCTCCCAAGTGCGGCGTTGTGTTGACCAAGTCATCGGGCTCGAGCTTGAAAAATGTCGATTCTATCCAAGACTCCATATCCGAGCTAGAGAGATGGTCCTCTTCCAGTCTTTTCGACGGCATTTGTCCCGCCATGTGAAAGGGCTCCGATTCGTGAACGCACTGATTGTCGCGGCCAGACCTGAAGCAGCGGATTCGGAGGGTCGAGCATGCCCTTTGAGAGGTTCGGCGCAGGATAGATGATGGAATGGAGGGGATGTATGAGCCTTTGGGCGGAGCTGTGAGAAAAGCATGCGGAGGCGTGAGAAGGAGTGCGAGACGCAAACCAGTCCTCTGTGGAGGTTAGAGAGCGATATCTGGATGCGAGTTCGAAGCCTTCACTGCTTTCATATCTCAAGATCTCATGGCTCATCTCCCCGCCACCACGTTTACCTCATCCTTTTGATCGCCCCATCCTTTCGCCTTCGTTTTCTACGGCATCAGCTTCCTTCGTACCATCCGAGCGCCTGCTAATGACACTTGAAAACAGCAAGGCTCAGTTTACGCATTGTTTCTTTCATGAAGGTCCTACGGCCGAAGTCGAACTGTACACATGTAAAAGGATCGTTTGCTATCTCGTATCTATTTATCGCATATCTGACTTGTGCTATTCTCTTCCCTGTCCTTATTTACACGAATCTGCTCTTGAATTTCAGGGACGATACTCTGCAATGTGGAGATTTGAACGACTCATGTTCGATATCCTTGACGCCATAGATTAGCAAAGATTGGAGAAAAGAGATAATCGGCAAACCTGGATCCGAGATACACTACAGACCATTCATCGCCATCTCCCCGCTCGAGAAACATCTTCACAATGTCGTCTCGGCCCATCCTTTTGGCAAGCATAAGCGGAGTCTCATCTAGGATCCGGATAGAGGTGTCGATTCCAGGTTGACGAAGCAAGAGCTTAACCACTCCAACGTGGTCACCAAGAACGGCTGCTGATAGCGCCGTGGGTCCATCGGGAGGCAAGAAGTTCAATGACTCCATGCGTTGGGACTTGAGAAGCATCTTGACAGTTCGTTCGTGTCCATTCGAAGCCGCCGCAACAAGGGGTGTGCAAAACGTGGGATGAGCATCCTTGACTTCAATACCATTTTGATAGTGGCGAAGACATGTGACTTTGTTCGCCTGGTTCATGTCCACGTCATCTCGCGACAGTAATAGTTTCACTACGCTGATCTGCCCTGCGTGTGCGGCGACACACAAGGTGTTTTCGTGCTGCGGATCAACCCCTCGATCCAATAGGATCTGCATGACATGGACCAAACCATGATGAGCAGCAAACCAAGCAAGAGTGCGTGGTATTTCAGGTTCCGAGTCTGGTGGTTGTTCGAATGACAGAGCGATTTGTGTACGAATCTCTAGGAAGGTGAGGATCTCTTCTTCCACGGATCCTCGAGCGCATTTCCTAGCATGAACCGCCCAGTGATTTGACGCGTACTTGAGGAAGGGATATTTTGCGGAGATATCAGAGAGAAGGACGTTTGGAGAGCGAAATACGTCGAATGACATGTAGGTTAGACACAGGCGTGTGATATGTTCGTGGATGCCTGCGAATTTTCCGGCTTGCTGAGAGAGAATGTACTCGCGGAAGGTAGGGTCTAGCAAATCATTCAGGAAAGAGAGAAACTGAGATGAGGACTAACTCACGTGCGAACCTGACATACTCTTCGCCATCAACGACGACAAGCCCGACACAAGCACTTGAGATAAGGTCGAAATCGAGGATTTTATGGCGGTTAAGCTTCTTCGTTCCTACTTGCACGGCCAATGCATACTGTAGTTCCAGGATCGTTAGGGGCCGCTGGGAAAAGGCGACCAAGCCGAATATTTTATAGGCGAGGGTCTTCTCGGTCTCGGACTGATGTTCGGCCCTTTCCAACAAATGCGCATACGTGCTTGCGATGGCTTCTGGAAGCTTATGGAGCTTCTCAATGAGGTCGCCACGATCTTCGCTATGGGCGAGTAAACTCAGATGCGCGTCTGCTAGGAGAAACCTACAGAAACACAACGGTGTTAGTGACTGAAAGGAAATCAATAGGATATAAATCCTACATGCCCTGGGCCTTCTCCACGACCATAGCGAGTATGTTCTGGCGCAGGGCGTCGCAGTCCCTAACAAAAATACGGAGACGGTCATTATCACGAAGCCTACTCATCACCAATTTCCGGATGTCGCCGTCGTCTGCTCGAATAGGCAACTCTTCATCTTCCTGAAACAGCCGTTGGATGGCTGGTTTGTTTCTCGAAGTGACGAGTAGACGGACTCTGTTCCCGAATGACTTCAAAGCGGAAACTAACTCTTTCTGATTGTCAACGAATTCATCGAAGGCGTCAAAGATGATATACACGTAAGGATAGCCTTCCAGATGGAGAGAAAGATCCTCCATGAGTTCACCGAGGGAAAGATCCATTGCACCTTTGAGGCTCCTGGTGTGCATGGATTCAAGAGAGGAAGAGAGCTCGTTCTGTGTGTATATCAACTGCTTTAGCAGGGAACGAATTATATCGGGCACGGTCTTGGCGTCCGAGGTTTGGTAGTCCCCGAAGACACGAAGGACGGGGATGTATTCTTTGGAAAACTCGGTCCGTTCGCACAAATGAGCGACAACAACGGAGGCGAGGACTGTCTTTCCGGTGCCTGCTACGAAATTCATGAGTTTGTGCAAATACGCTTAGGGGAGTCTGGCCTGAGACTCACGATCGCCAGGACACCACAAAGTGGAGGATTTTGCGGTACCATCAAGCCAACTCGTAAACTGGGGTGCCTCGAGGAACCATTGTCCGGTACCCGCAACATGTTGTTTCAGCTTGCCGCGTTGAATGGAACTGTAGTCTAGAGGACTGAGCCAAGCGGCTACCTCGGCTCTTTTGTCTGTGATGTATGTATGCATCAGTATACAATCCAAACTGGAGTTTTCAAGAATGAACATACCCCTCTGTCTACTCATAGCAACATCTCGAATAGCGTCTACTTTGCCCTCAAGGTCGCATAGCTTTTGCTGAACATTGAGAGAGAATGCGCTGTATACCAAATTTAGCCTCTGAGGTGTCAAGCATAGTAAGAATCACTTACAGGGCCTCGTGCTGGCCAACGACATCCATGACCAACGACCCGATATCCTCAACCTTCCTCAAATCCTCTTGCGCTCTCTCTTCAGCAAATGACCACTGGAGCCTCGGCGCCACCCTTTTCCACCACAGCGAGGTAACCTTCAGATCCTTCTCGATTCCAGCAAGTAATCCACTAAGCTCTTTGAAAGGGTCGTTCAATTGCTGTAATATCATCAGCCACGGGTCGCCTGCGGTCGATAGCGACGTGATTATTTTCACGGTAGACAGGTGGATCTCCATATGCCGTAGCTCCCTCATGAGCTCGTTGCGTTCTTTAGGCGCGTCTTGTACATCCTTGAGATACTTGATGACTGTGCGAGACTTTTGGATAAGGGCAGTAATGGATGCGATTTCTACCATGGTGTTGCCGTTTGAGTCTCAAGTCGCAAAGAGTCTTAGATGTTCCGCCCTTTAGCACGGCCACCCTACGGATCCCCCAGAACGAGTAATTGTGCATCCGGTCATGTACATCACGGTGTCGCCCTATGGTATCCATCAATTCCGCATGAAAAATGTTCCTCCTTGGAACCTCTGCAAGGTGAGGCGACGCATCCGGGAGGAACCCTTGCTTCTTGGCGACATTCTCGATAAAGATGGGCAACAACTATTGAAAAGTCATTTCAAAGGCTATAGATAAAATGAACCTCAACACGAATTCAGTGCGAGGAGCATAGCGGAACGTACCTGCAATGCCCTTCTCAGCCTACACTAAGCACGCACGGCACCGAATCCTGTCTACCTTCCAAATCATCTCTCCTGTATTTTTCCAAGGCGCGTCAGCATGCAGAAGAGGGTTGGGTGAGGGAGAGAACGAATGTGGTCGACAAGTTTCAAACTTTGTCGCGACCGGCCTATGCGGCTTTGGACTCACGTGGCGGCTATGCTGAAGGACCGCGGCGGACCGGTCCTTCTCCCGAAATCGTTGATTCCTACTTGCCCACAAGCCGCGTCTACTTAGTGTTCAGCCATCTGAAGGGACCGAGAACAAAGCATTCATCTATCGTGAGCGGGGATCGAAACTCTCCTTCCATCTCTCTACTATCTACTATCATCGAAGACTCGACTTGCGCACACACGGCCTTTCTCTCAATCTCCTACATTCACCATATATCTGTCTCGCGAAAGCTTCGCTCGA